TTAAGCACCCCATCGTTTACTTTTCCTTCGTTTTTCCTCCTATCCTTTAATATATGTTATCTTGCCCTTCAGAAACAGGAGAAAACATTCACATGAACGACTGTTGGTGTACTGACATTTGATCATTGCCATCTGGCTTGCAGAAATAGAGAAATCCCAGTTAGATATACAGTATTGTTGCAGAGTTTGTATGACCATTTGGCTTGGACAGACCCTCAGAAGGCTTATCATATGTCTTCCAAGTCCCTTCTTGTTAACTGATGCATTGTTTTTCCTTTGAGCCTTAACCAATCACCGCTCTTCAATAAGACGTCTCCCGTTTCGCTGCACCTCAGCATAGATTGGCTAGTTTAGCCCTCACAGACGGTGCTGGATAAGGTAGAGTGAAGGGGGCCTTTGGCACAGAAAGAGGAGAGAGGAAGACACACACACACGTACAGAGGGACGATGACATGGGCCACACTCCAGGGGGTGATTAGTGCTGTGTGGACATGCATCTAGAGGCTGTCAGAGGTTGGCTTGGCAGGGACGGCCGTCTCCCCTCGCTAATGTCTACCAGCAGGGCTGTTCACACTGTTTATCTTACTCTCAGACCTTCCAGAACTCACTCTCTCTCTTTCTCCATTTCAACTCTCATTTCCCTCTCTTTCTTTCACCCTTGATTCGTCTCGACTTCCCTCGTTTCCTCTCTTTCTCTTTCATGCACTCACAACCTCTCTTTCTCTTTGCTCTCCTTCCTTAACTTTATGTCTTCATCTCTCTCTCTATACCTCTCTTGCTCTCTCCCTCTTTCCTCTCTCTTTATTCCCTCTCTTTCTCTCAATCTGTCCTGGATAGGTCCCTCCATCTTTCTCTATGTGGATCCAGGACAGATCCCAGGGTGCTAATAGCTAAGTGACATCTCTCTATTAAGCCCCGCCCCTTCCTCCTGGCCTTGCGGTCACTTCCTTTTTCTCCTCCAATAGGAATTCATGTGAATGAAATCAGTCTGAATCATTCCATTGTACTCCAGACCAGGCCTGGATGACTTTCTCAGGGCATCCTACCCGGAACGCTGTTGGTTTAAGCAATTGTATGGAATTCTGTCCATGACATGGGCCATGTTTTGGTGTTGAGGAGAGAGAGAGAGAGAGAGAGAGAGAGAGAGAGAGAGAGAGAGAGAGAGGTAGAGACAGAGCTGCATTTCCTATTACACTGTGATAAATACTCAGACCTAAGAGAATCTTTCTTTCCCAAAATTATCATTCAGTACAAAGAATTTGAAACTATAAAAGAGGAAGAAAAAATCAAATATTTATTGGGTGAAAAGCCAAAATGTGCAATTTTGGCAGCCAAATATGTGTCCTCCTGCCACAACCTGAGGGACAGCCAGTGAAAAGTGTAATGTAATGTCAATAATATTTCCTGTTTTGTTTTGGCTTTCATAGCATGTAATGTGTCTTCTCAGTCATGTTGAGATTGGTCGACTACTATTGCTTTAATGTATTGTTATTCTCATTAATATTGTTGTTGTAGTTGCTGTTAATGGTAATCCCATTTCCACTACTACTATTATTATTGCTGTTGGTCCCACCATTTTTGTTATATGTATACTTTGACAATGTAAGTAATTTTACTTGCCATGTCAATAAAGTCTATTGAATTGAATTGAATTGAGAGAGAGAGAGAGAACAAGAGAAATAAGAGAAGAAAGAGGGAGCGAGAGACAGAAAGTATTAAAACAGACTTTTCCTCCCCTATTAGATACAGTGGGGAAAAAAAAGATTTAGTCAGCCACCAATTGTGCAAGTTCTCCCACTTAAAAAGATGAGAGAGGCCTGTAATTTTCATCATAGGTACACGTCAACTATGACAGACAAATTGAGGAAAAAAAATCCAGAAAATCACATTGTAGGATTTTTTATGAATTTATTTGCAAATTATGGTGGAAAATAAGTATTTGGTCACCTACAAACAAGCAAGATTTCTGGCTCTCACAGACCTGTAACTTCTTCTTTAAGAGCCTCCTCTGTCCTCCACTCGTTACCTGTATTAATGGCACCTGTTTGAACTTGTTATCAGTATAAAAGACACCTGAAGACCAAAGAGCTGTCAAAGGACACCAGAAACAAAATTGTAGACCTGCACCAGGCTGGGAAGACTGAATCTGCAATAGGTAAGCAGCTTGGTTTGAAGAAATCAACTGTGGGAGCAATTATTAGGAAATGGAAGACATACAAGACCACTGATAATCTCCCTCGATCTGGGGCTCCACGCAAGATCTCACCCCGTGGGGTCAAAATGATCACAAGAACGGTGAGCAAAAATCCTAGAACCACACGGGGGGACCTAGTGAATGACCTGCAGAGAGCTGGGACCAAAGTAACAAAGCCTACCATCAGTAACACACTACGCCGCCAGGGACTCAAATCCTGCAGTGCCAGACGTGTCCCCCTGCTTAAGCCAGTACATGTCCAGGCCCGTCTGAAGTTTGCTAGAGTGCATTTGGATGATCCAGAAGAGGATTGGGAGAATGTCAAATGGTCAGATGAAACCAAAATATAACTTTTTGGTAAAAACTCAACTCGTCGTGTTTGGAGGACAAAGAATGCTGAGGTGCATCCAAAGAACACCATACCTTCTGTGAAGCATGGGGGTGGAAACATCATGCTTTGGGGCTGTTTTTCTGCATAGGGACCAGGACGACTGATCCGTGTAAAGGAAAGAATGAATGGGGCCATGTATCGTGAGATTTTGAGTGAAAACCTCCTTCCATCAGCAAGGGCATTGAATATGAAATGTGGCTGGGTCTTTCAGCATGACAATGATCCCAAACACACCGCCCGGGCAACGAAAGAGTGGCTTCGTAAGAAGCATTTCAAGGTCCTGGAGTGGCCTAGCCAGTCTCCAGATCTCAACCCCATAGAAAATCTTTGGAGGGAGTTGAAAGTCCGTGTTGCCCAGCGACAGCCCCAAAACATCACTGCTCTAGAGGAGATCTGCATGGAGGAATGGGCCAAAATACCAGCAACAGTGTGTGAAAACCTTGTGAAGACTTACAGAAAACGTTTGACCTGTGTCATTGCCAACAAAGGGTATATAACAAAGTATTGAGAAACTTTTGTTATTGACCAAATACTTATTTTCCACCATAATTTGCTAAAAAATTCATAAAAAATCCTACAATGTTTTCTGGATTATTTTTTCTCATTTTGTCTGTCATAGTTGACTTGTACCTATGATGAAAATTACAGGCCTCTCTCATCTTTTTAAGTGGGAGAACTTCCACAATTGGTGGCTGACTAAATACTTTTTTCCCCCACTGTATCTACCTCTCAATGCTTCTAAAAGTCACATCCATACATCTACGTACTCGTTCCATCCCACTCCCATCCCTCCCTCCTTCTCTCACTCTATGCCCACTAAGTGTCCAACCATTGTTGTTGTCCCTCCATGTGTGCCAACATAGTACACCACACCCTGTGTGTCTGTCTGCTAAAAATACCTTGGCAGGACTTGATGTATTGTCTGATGACAGGCGATGCATAATGCAGATATTGTGTGATAGTACACACACATACACTGAAAGCATGTGGCAGGTACAGGTACAGTGGGGAGAACAAGTATTTATAATCAGCACAACAATAACAAAAATAACACAATATTTTAGTTGTCAGTGTTTATTATGATTTTAGTGGCAAAAATCTATATATGAGGTAAATTCCCAGCAGAGCTCCAAGTTCAATCAGTATATCCTCTGGCGTGTTAATGTGTTGATATCCTTCGTATCCATAGCCAGAATGATTTTGCAGTGCATGGTGATTGAACAGGTTTCCAGTTATATTCATCAGCGTTGTAGGGAGGGTGAAATCTGTGAATACAAAAATAATAATTATACAAATGATCAACAAAACGTGCGCACGACAGTATTCATACCTCGGTTTTTGTGGTAAATGTGAATGAAAAAACGGTTCACTTTTGACAACGGTTTTAATACACATACCTTGTCCATAATGTAGAGACCTCTGGGATCTTCATTGAAGAGGTCAGGGAGGAGGAAGATGGCTGCTGTGACCGAGTCCTAGAAGGTTTTAGAGAAACCATTAATACAAATTAGATGATAGCCTACATGTGATCTGCATAACATTATGCGACAAACCAATACCAATTGTACATACCTTTGTGTGCCTCCTCGTCAGTATACCTGCAGACACAGACACACACAAATAAGTGGGCAGTTCAGTCATCTGAGCCCAATGCAGCTAGCCTTCAACATATTCTTACCTCTTTGTTGATTGACATCCATTGAATTGTGTCCATTTTCTGTTTTATAAATAATTTTAAAAGGGAGAAAGTGCCAAACAACACAGCCATTTGCACAACTATGAAAAGATAGATGGTATCATCATAAATCAATATCAATTTAGATCATACAAGGGAGAAATCTTACCTTAAATTGAGGAGATCTTAAAAATGTTAAGTTAAGTGCCTTTCTCAAATTCAAATCCACATTTATCAGTTGGGCAGTTAGGTTGCTGGAAGAACCCCCAAGAACTAAGGAGGTTCCTCGATGAACCCCACCTCCTATGGGGTTCTTGGAAGTACCTTTTGGGGGCATTTTTCAGTGCCAAGAACCCTAAGGTTCTTCAAAGAACTTTGAGGATCTTAGAAGAACCCTTGTTGAATCCCAAATTTTTAGAGTGTATAGAGAACCTGCTGAATGTTTTTTCCATTGATAGGCTAGCAGTGTTAAGGAGATGCAGGCCTACATATTAACATTCCTGTGGCGTAATAACTATTTTATTCCTTTGACAATCATCTTACTGGAATAACATCATGATGATCCGTCACAGAGGATTTCCCTCTCTGCTCATATGGCCTTAGTACATGTGCTGGTGTTGTACATAATATGTGTGTATCTTCAATCTGTGCTGCATCGCTGACTCAAGTTGAACAGGATATACAGTAGATAGGTAGGGGTTGGGATAAAGCAGAAGACACATTTCCATTTCCCTGTGATAATGGACAACAAAGTAAACACTTCTTCTAGGAAAATACATTAATGGTGTTTGGTTGGTTGAGAACACAAACAAGCAATAAAGACTATTGGAGGGATCCAAACTTCTTCCTTCTGCACTTACATCTGACAGGACTTCTATGAGTACTCAGTACTGTATATGACTAGACTGTAGATTACATTGTGTATCTTTCTCTGTTCACTACAGGAGGCTCTGGCCCATGTTAATGCCCATGCCCAGGCAGCGCGGCCACCAGTGGACCCATCAGAGCTGTTCCCCAGGCTGTGCCACCTGGAGCGGGCCGAGACGGGCTACGGCTTCAACCTGCACAGTGAGAAGTCCCGGCCGGGCCAGTACATCCGCTCCCTGGACCCTGGGTCTCCAGCCGACCATGCTGGGCTCAGACCACAGGACAGACTCATAGAGGTGAGGAGAGAGGGGTGGGTGGAGGAGGGGAGATGGGTGAGGAGAGGGGAGATGGGTGGAGGGGAGAGGTGACGAGGATGGGTGGAGGAGGGGAGAGGTGAGGAGAGGGGAGATGGGTGGAGGAGGGGAGAGGTGAGGAGGATGGGTGGAGGAGGGGAGAGGTGAGGAGAGGGGAGATGGGTGGAGGAGGGGAGAGGTGAGGAGAGGGGAGATGGGTGGAGGAGGGGAGAGGTGAGGAGGATGGGTGGAGGAGGGGAGAGGTGAGGAGAGGGGAGATGGGTGGAGGAGGGGAGAGGGGGGATGGGTGTCGAAAGAGGGCTAGTGGTTAGAGACTGAAGAAAACGGGTGGGGGACTGTGGAGCTCCATGAAGGGGTTTATTTTTCATGAAGGTGAAGAGGATAGGTTTGTGAGGAGGAAGTTGGGAGGAAGGGCTAGTCCAGGAGTAGGTTGGGAGGAAGGGCTAGTCCAGGAGGAGGTTGGGAGGAAGGGCTAGTCCAGGAGGAGGACAGAGGTGCAGGGGATTGGTGGGAGAGGGGGGGGTGGAGTCTGATGTCTTAATAATCAGGGAACTACGGAACAGTAGAGGCTTGGTTTGTCAACTTTAGACAAGTGGTCCTAATGAGACCCTAATGAGGTGGGCTTTGAGAAATGGGGTCGGGGATGGGATGGTGGGACACCCTAATTAAGGGGGTTTATAGAAAATGTCAGAGAGAGAGGGAGTGGGGTGAATGAACATGTGTCTGAGATAAGGGATACAGAATGAGACCCCAAGAGGCCTCTTACTCCCCTATGTGTGCATGCCTGTGAATGTTTGGGTTTGTGATTATCAGTGTGTATGTGTGCATGCCTGTGAATGTTTGGGTTTGTGCTTATCAGTGTGTATGTGTGCATGCCTGTATGAGCCCATGTGTGTACACAGGTGTGACCTTGTGTGGCAGCGGTCTCAATGCTCATCCGTCATGCGTGTGCAGGGCCACATGTGCCTGGTTTAACCCCTCTGTAACGTTACCACTGCTATAACACGGCCTGGACCCCCGGCCTCATCTCTCACCTGTTTTAGTTGAGATGAAAGAGGTCAGGCTGATAGTGGGGAGAGGTTGTTCATCAGTCTGATGGCAGGACACAGACAGGAGAGAAACATACGAGGCCTGAATGTGTGGGAGAAAGAAGGGATGGAGGGATAGAAGGAGACAGACAGGAGAAGCAGATGCAGACATGTGGAACATAGTCATACTGATCCTGCTCACCATACACCCTTTCAACCAGACCCCCAGACACATTCCCATGAGCCCTGACCCCAGAGCAGTACATCAGGGCCTAACAAGGCCACATAGGGCCAACACAGGGCCATACAGGGTCAAACAGGGTCAAATACAGGGTCAGACAGGGCCAAACAGGGCCAAATACAGGGTCAGACAGGACATAATATACACTGCATCAAAAACACAGGGTCAAATGAAAGTCACACAGAGCCAAACAGAATCTAGCTTAGTTTAACTAAGCCTAACCTGGCTCGTAGCATTACCATGACATTACCATGACGTTACCATAGCATTGTGGTGAAAACACAAGGCTGGAAACAGTACTAAACAAAGTGTAATATGACAGGCAGAGCAGTTGGATACAGTAGACCCCAACAGGGTCAAAGAGACACACACACACAATCACACATGCAAGCACACACACACGGCTATCCCAGTCCAGTCCTGCCCATACAGTATGAGTAACACAGACAGCTGCACACACTGGCACTAGAGGGAGAAGTTACCTTCAATGCTTTGATGTCCCTCTGTCTGTCCAACAACAGGAAACAGTGAGAGTGAACTGTAGCTATGGGAGCTAGCTTCCTGTGTCTGTTAGATGACAATAGCAGGCCAAGTGACTCCCTGTCCATGTCCTCTAAGGTCCATAAATAGGCTTTATCATGTTTATATAGATACTAAAGAGTCCCTGCCCTGAACCTGAATACACACATCAAGGGAGAGAGACAGAGAGACCCTGCCCTGAACCTGAATACACACATCAAGGGAGAGAGACAGAGATACCCTGCCCTGAACCTGAATACACACATCAAGGGAGAGAGACAGAGATACCCTGCCCTGAACCTGAATACACACATCAAGGGAGAGAGACAGAGACCCTGCCCTGAACCTGAATACACACATCCACTGCCTAGATACTGTAAGCACTCAGAGAGACCAAATACTTCAGACAATACAGTACTGTCTGTCTCTACTGTGCTCTTCAACCAATAACAATAGACTCTCATTCAACGTCTATGCATTACCTTCCGTACAATATGTCTGCAAAGCAGCATTCAGCAACCATCTGTGACATTCCACCACATCATATTAAAAAAGGTCTTTGTAGATCAAGAACCTGTATTGGTGTCCTCTTCTGAACACAACACAGTTAAAAGCCTTGGCCTTCTCTCTTCCTGTATGAATGGGGCTCAACAGTATCAGCTGTGTTTTGACAGGGCCAAGTGAAAGGGATTTCTAATGAACACAGTCTGGGTGTACAGTTTCAGCTCAGAGTGGTTCATCTATTGTCATTGAAACCCTGTGTGTGTTAGCTTAGATTAGCGCTAAGTGAAGTTACTCCCTACCCACTGATTCAGGGTGCCTATAATCAGTGGTGGAAAAAGTACCCAATTGTCATACTTGAGTAAAATTAAAGATACCTTGATAGAGAGTAACTCAAGGAAAAGTTAAAGTCACCCAGTAAAATACTACTTGAGTTAAAGTCTAAAAGTATTTGGCTTTAAATATACTTAAGTATCAAAAGTAAATGTAAATGCTAAAAGTAAAAGTATAAATCATTTCACATTCCTTATATTAAGCAAACCAGTCGGCACGAGTTTCTTGTTTTATTATTTTATGGATTGCCAGGGGCACACTCCAACACTCAGACATAATTTACGAACAAAGCATTTGTGTTTAGTGAGTCCACCAGATCAGAGGCAGTAGGGATGACCAGGGATGTTCTCTTGATAAGTACGTGAATTTGACCATTTTCCTGTCCTGCTAAGCATTCAAAATGTAACAAGTACTTTTGGGTGTCAGGGTAAATGTATGAAGTATCATTTTCTTTAGGAATGTAGTGGAAAAAGTTGTCAAAAATATAAATAAGTAGTACTTTAAAGTATTTGTACTTAAGTACACTATATATACAAAAGTATGTGGACACCTCTTCAAATTAGTGGATTCGGCTATTTTAGCCACACCCATTGCTGACAGGTGTATAAAATCGAGTACACAGCCATCCAATCTCCCTAGACAAACATTGGCAGTAGAATGGCCTTATCCCCCTGTTATGAACCCTGTGGCTTTAAAAGTCTAGGGTGGATGGAAAAGAGACCCGTAACATAACTCATGCGAATTAGAATATTGACAAGGAACAGTGAGAACAAAATACACCGACAACCATATGCTACCGTCAAACACAAAATGTTTATTATAAACACACGGTAAACGGTTTGGGGAAAAGGGGCTGAGCTGGACCCAAGGAATGAAACAATAAAGTCAAAAACCCCTAAACTGATCTTGCCTGCCTCTAGAACCGCTAAGCTTACTGCTAACCATACAAAAATACAATGGGTGGTCCGCTCAGGTCTAACTAGTGTGCCTGTATCCGTAACACCCCCAATGCATAGTGCCAACTGTAAAGTTTGGTGGAGGAGGAATAATGGTCTGGTGTTGTTTTTCATGGTTCGGGCTAGGCCCCTTAGTTCCAGTGAAGGGAAATCTTAACGCTACAGCATACAATGACATTCTAGACGATTCTGTGCTTCCAACTTTGTGGCAACCGTTTGGGGAAGGCCCTTTCCTGTTTCAGCATGACAATGCCCCGGTGCACAAAGCAAGGTCCATACAGAAATGGTTTGTCGAGATCAGTGTGGAAGAACTTGACTGGCCTGTACAGAGCCCTGACCTCAACCCCATCAAACACCTTCGGCATGAATTGGAGCACCGACTGCGAGCCAGGCCTAATCGCCCAACAGCAGTGCCCGACCTCACTAATGCTCTTGTGGCTGAATGGAAGCAAGTCCCCACAGCAATGTTCTAACATCTAGTGGAAAGCCTTCCCATAAGAGTGGAGGCTGTTATAGCAGCAAAGGGGGGACCAACTCCATATTAATGCCCATGATTTTGGAATGAGATGTTCGATGAGCAGGTTTCCACATACATTTGGTCATGTAGTATACTTTACACCACTGCCTATAATCATTTAGGTTAGGATCGGGGGTAGGCTGATCTGATCCTAGATCTGTGGTTAAGGGTTAAGGACTACTTTTACCTTATGCAGTTAGAGCAGTTTCCCCTATACAGTCAGTGTCAGTAAACTGTAGTCAGTGAAGCCCTGTTTCACTCAGTCATTGGTTTTAATGCTGTGTCTGTTAGTTATAGCTGGATTAGTGCTAAGTGGCTAGGTCACTGTACCTGCTGAAACTGCAGGCAGAGCCCCTGGGGTTTGGCCTAGGTAACCCCAGGCAGGTGTGTGGGCTCAGTGGTTGACTAAAGGTTGATTATGTTTGTGTTATTCTCTGTGGCTAATGGAGGTTGTCTCTGACCAAGCAACCGTGTGGCACGGTGCACTGCTTGGTCCGTCTGTCAGCAGCTCGTTAGCGAGGTGAAGACCCATGACAGACCTCGCTCTCGCTTCAATGAGGATGGCGAGGACGAGACTCTCCTCCCGCGCTCATCTTTCTCTCGTTCCTTTCATAGCTTCTCACACTCCATCAGTTCATCCATCCAGCCCTCTCTCTCTCTCTCTCTCTCTCTAGAATATCATCAGTTCATCCATTCAGCCCTCTCTCTCTCTCTCTCTAGATAATAATCAGTTCATCCATTCAGCCCTCTCTCTCTCTCTCTCTAGATAATCATCAGTTCATCCATTCAGCCCTCTCTCTCTCTCTCTCTAGATAATCATCAGTTCATCCATTCAGCTCTCTCCACCTCCCAGGTGTGGCTTCATCTCCTGATAAAACAACCATCCTCATCTCCTGGGTTGTGTTCATTCAGGCATGCAACATTACAAAATGTTTTGCAACAGGAAACTAAATGTACTGTTTCTTATTTGACTAAACCAGGTAGCATCTCCCTGTTCAAGTTGTATTTTTTGTGCCTAATGAACAGAACCCTGACCTGTCTTTGCCCCATTAAGCCAGGAACTCAGTGTACTGTCCCTGACACCTTGGCTAGGACACCTGGGTACAGTACAGTACAGCCGGGTAGTGGACGCTTCCACACACACACACACACACACACATACATACACACACACATACACATACATATATATACACTCAACATCAAAGGTAAACCATTGGAAACATTCCAGGGTCTATGATCTAAGCTAACACTGACGATTATGATAGTACCTTGAAAACGACTGCTCTGTAAAGCATTCAAACAGCACTATATTCCAATGAAAAACAGGTTTGGCCCACTAGCACTACAGTGACTGTTTTATTGTGTGGGAGTTGCCTAATGAACAAGGGCCCTATTAATTAGCTTGAGTGGGCAGTATTGTTGTGTTGGATTGTGAAGACTTGCTGCTGCTATGAAACATGACACAACACCTGCTCCCCAAGCCCAACACAAAGGGGACTTGTTCCTCCTCATACACTAGGGCTGGTATGATGACAGGATTCTCTACCAATTAGTGTGTGACGACTCCACTGAGCCTTATGTTCTGACACCTACTCTAATGGAGAGAGAGAGGGAGAGAGAGATAGAGGGAGAGAGAGAGGGGAGATGGAGAGAAAGAATAGATGGAATTTTTTTTCTGATAGTGAAGGGGTCAGCACAGTAACTGTTATCACTGCTTAACTCTCACTCTCTCGCTTTCTTTCACGCTCTCTTTTTTCTCTCTTTCACACACAACACAAACACACACACACACACATACAAACACACACACACACACTTAAGTTCTCTCTGTTTCACACACTTATTCATCTCCCCTTTCTCTCTATATCTCTCTCCATTTCATACACACACACTCAACTTCTCTTGGTTTTACACATTCTTTCCTCCCTTTCTCTCTCTCTATCTCTCTTTCCCTCATTCTCCTAGTCTCTCCCTAGCCTTAACAGGCACTTACTCATTTCCTATGTAACAGTTAGTTAGGAGAGCATAGGCGGGTATCTAGCCGTGCTGTTACAGTGTATTAGACCAGTCTGATATCTAGCCGTGCTGTTACAGTGTATTAGACCAGTCTGATATCTAGCCGTGCTGTTACAGTGTATTAGACCAGTCTGATATCTAGCCGTGCTGTTACAGTGTATTAGACCAGTCTGATATCTAGCTGTGTTGTTACAGTGTATTAGACCAGTCTGATATCTAGCCGTGCTGTTACAGTGTATTAGACCAGTCTGATATCTAGCCGTGCTGTTACAGTGTATTAGACCAGTCTGATATCTAGCCGTGCTGTTACAGTGGTATTAGGACCAGTCGTGATATCTAGCCGTGCTGTTACAGTTGGTAGTTAGGGCCAGTCTGATATCTAGCGTGCTTGTTACAGTTGTATTAGAACCAGTCTGATATCTAGCCGTGTTGTGACAGTTGTATTAGACCAGTCTGAGATCTAGCCGTTGTTACTGTTGTTACAGTGTATTTAGAACCAGTCTGATATCTAGCCGTTTGTTCGTTGTAATGGAAGTTTATCTAGGTTGTTTACAGGGTTTAGGACCAGTCTGACTTCTAGCCGTGCTGTTACAGTGTATTAGACCAGTCTGATATCTAGCCGTGCTGTTACAGTGTATTAGACCAGTCTGATATCTAGCCGTGTTGTTTACAGTGTATTAGACCAGTCTGATATCTAGCCGTGTTGTTACAGTGTATTAGACCAGTCTGATATCTAGCCGTGCTGTTACAGTGTATTAGACCAGTCTGATATCTAGCCGTGTTGTTACAGTGTATTAGACCAGTCTGATATCTAGCCGTGTTGTTACAGTGTATTAGACCAGTCTGATATCTAGCCGTGTTTGTTACAGTGTATTAGACCAGTCTGATATCTAGCCGTGCTGTTACAGTTGTATTAGACCAGTCTGATATCTAGCCGTGCTGTTACAGTGTATTAGACCAGTCTGATATCTAGCCGTGCTGTTACAGTGTATTAGACCAGTCTGATATCTAGCCGTGCTGTTACAGTGTATTAGACCAGTCTGATATCTAGCCGTGCTGTTACAGTGTATTAGACCAGTCTGATATCTAGCCGTGCTGTTACAGTGTATTAGACCAGTCTGATATCTAGCCGTTCTGTTACAGTGTATTAGACCAGTCTGATATCTAGCCGTGCTGTTACAGTGTATTAGACCAGTCTGATATCTAGCCGTGCTGTTACAGTGTATTAGACCAGTCTGATATCTAGCCGTGTTGTTACAGTGTATTAGACCAGTCTGATATCTAGCAGTGCTGTTACAGTGTATTAGACCAGTCTGATATCTAGCCGTGTTGTTACAGTGTATTAGACCAGTCTGATATCTAGCCGTGTTGTTACAGTGTATTAGACCAGTCTGATATCTAGCCGTGCTGTTACAGTGTATTAGACCAGTCTGATATCTAGCCGTGCTGTTACAGTGTATTAGACCAGTCTGATATCTAGCCGTGCTGTTACAGTGTATTAGACCAGTCTGATATCTAGCCGTGCTGTTACAGTGTATTAGACCAGTCTGATATCTAGCCGTGTTGTTACAGTGTATTAGACCAGTCTGATATCTAGCCGTGCTGTTACCGTGTATTAGACCAGTCTGATATCTAGCTGTGTTGTTACAGTGTATTAGACCAGTCTGATATCTAGCCGTGTTGTTACAGTGTATTAGACCAGTCTGATATTTAGCCGTGCTGTTACAGTGTATTAGACCAGTCTGATATCTAGCCATGTTGTTACAGTGTATTAGACCAGTCTGATATCTAGCCGTGTTGTTACAGTGTATTAGACCAGTCTGATATCTAGCCGTGTTGTTACAGTGTATTAGACCAGTCTGATATCTAGCCGTGTTGTTACAGTGTATTAGACCAGTCTGATATCTAGCTGTGTTTTTACAGTGTATTAGACCAGTCTGATATCTAGCCGTGTTGTTACAGTGTATTAGACCAGTCTGATATCTAGCCGTGCTGTTACAGTGTATTAGACCAGTCTGATATCTAGCCGTGTTGTTACAGTGTTTAGACCAGTCTGATATCTAGCAGTGCTGTTACAGTGTATTAGACCAGTCTGATATCTAGCCGTGCTGTTACAGTGTATTAAACCAGTCTGATATCTAGCCGTGTTGTTACAGTGTATTAGACCAGTCTGATATCTAGCCGTGCTGTTACAGTGTATTAAACCAGTCTGATATCTAGCCGTGCTGTTACAGTGTATTAGACCAGTCTGTTTCACAACCACCTCCTACTGCCCTCACTTCATAAGCAACAGCGTTAGTGAATTTTAAAACAATATCCCCCTCAGGACACTGATACCTGAAACCCACACTATTGGTTCAGCAGAAGCTAGGCATCAATATTTGATGGTGTACCAGCGTTAAGGCAGGCAGCACCGTGCAAAGCTACAGTACTAGCTGAATAAAGTTAATGGGATATATAGGAGTCTGTGGAAAGTCACAGTGAGAAACTCCAACAAAAACTTGCTGACATGTTAGTGACTGGGGTGTGAGGGCTTCTTCTCACCTTTCTTACACTATCACTCCCCTCTCTTTCTCTCCCTCACACACTCACCCCTCACTCTTTTCGAGCTGAATTCACAAGGTGCCGAACCAATGAAAGAGGGATTACTATGACCAAAGAGAGAGAAAAAAGTGTTTGAAAGGGAAACAAATAAATAACATTCTACTGTTAGAGCCCATTAGCTTACATGCTCGTTCCATCCTTGTTGTAATGTGGTATGGAATGTAAAATATATTCTGTTCGGCTTAATGAAGAATAGGCTCTCTCTCTCTCTATGCACCCTCATGCAAAAATGTGTGTCTGATACCTCACAGGTTTTGTTCTCACTCTTCATTGAGTCCCGTGGAAAATGATTGTTTTGGTGCATAGCACCCTCTACTGGTTGGATCAAGTAACTGTTTGCATATTCAGTTGATTATTATCTTACATTTACATTAGATTTACGTCATTTAGCAGACGCTCTTATCCAGAGCGACTTACAAATTGGTGCATTCACCCTATAGCCAGTGGGATAGCCACTTTACAATGTTTTTTTTATTTATTTATTTGTATTATTTTTTTATTTTTTTTTATTTTGGGGGGGGGGGGGGGGGGGGGGGGGGGGGGGGTAGAAGGATTACTTTATCCTATCCCAGGTATTCCTTAAAGAGGTGGGGTTTCAAATGTCTCCGGAAGGTGGTGAGTGACTCCGCTGTCCTGGCGTCGTGAGGGAGCTTGTTCCACCATTGGGGTGCCAGAGCAGCGAACAGTTTTGACTGGGCTGAGCGGGAACTATGCTTCCGCATAAGTAAGTGCTTTAGTTTAGGCTATACCATAGTTTTGGACAGTTGTGAATATGTTCTCTATAAACGCTGGATCAGGTAAAGAGAATGTTGTTGGATTGAGACCTGTGAACTGCTGCACTGGTCCAATGTGGACGTATCAGAAATCAACTGTAAGTCAACCAGTGTAAAGTCTGCACACCAGTAATGACAGATGACCGACCAACCAACATCACTAGTGTGCTTTTTTAAAACTTGTTTTGGATACTTAGTTGTTCCTGTCTAAACCAGCACCAGGATCTATATGCATTGTGAACAGGGTTCCATCTGTATTCATATTCACAATCAGACAGCCTTGAACATCTTTCGGGCATTGAAACATTGAGACAATGACGAGGCCAGATCACAGAAAACAGTATAGATGGAGACATCTAACATCACCCATAACACCCTTTCTTCCCTGCTCTCTCCCTTCTCTCCTTTCAGGTGAATGGGGTGAACGTGGAGGGCATGCGTCATGCGGAGGTCGTGGCCTTCATAAAGAGAGGAGGAGATGAGACCAGGCTTCTGGTGGTGGACCCTGACACAGACGATCACTTTAAGAAGATGGGCGTCACCCCATTGGCCAGCCACGTCAAAGGTAGGCCTACACCAATGTATACCTGTAAAACAGAATCTTTATTTAAAGTGTACTCTTATAAACCACAGTACAGCTCAGTACAAGTCTCTTTGTACATCTACATTTTACATTTTAGTCATTTAGCAGACGCTCTTATCCAGAGCGACTTACAGTTAGTGAGTGCATAAATTGTTTCATACTGGCCCCCCGTGGGAAACAAACCCACAACCCTGGCGTTGCAAATGCCATGCTCTACCAACTGAGCTACACGGGGCCACAGTTACATATTGAGAAGGCAATAATGGTGTTGATGATCTTAATCTATAGTGAAATGTTACAGTGTAGTTCATAAAAGCCTGTATCAGATTACTTACCTCGAAATCTCAGAGCCTGCAATTCTGGGTGTAGGGTGAAGTTGCCCATAGGGTGGGTCAGTTTTGCATTTCCCCCACTAATGATTAAGGTTAGGATTGGAGGAAGGAAAGGGTAGAGAAGCTGATCCTAGATCTGCACCTAGAGCGTAATTCTGACCCTTCTTTCCCAGACTATGATGGTCCGTCCATATCCAACGGCTCCCCCAGTTCTCAGATCAACGGCAGCTTCACCTCCCGCTCCATCCAGTCACACCACTCTGACCTGAACAGTCCAGATAACAGCCTGCAGGTGAGACGTGTGTGTGTGTGCTCGTGTGTGTCAATCCACACTATAAATACCCAGTAATCTCCGATATTAATCTCTGTCTCGCTCTCTGTCTGTCTGTCTGTGTCTCTCTGCCTGCCTGCCTGCCTGCCTGCCTGCCTGCCTGCCTGCCTGCCTGCCTGTTTGTCTGTCTGTCTGCCTGCCTGCCTGTCTGTCTGTCTGTCTGTCTGTCTGTCTGTCTCTGTCTCACTATCTAGCTGGGAGAGGACGAGGTGGGCCGTCTGATGGACCCGTTTGCTGAGATCGGCCTGCTCCTGAGTCCCACGGCGGCCGAGGCCAAAGAGAAGGCCCACGCCAAGAGAGCCAAGAAGAGAGCCCCTCAGATGGACTGGGACAAAAAACACCAGCTCTTCAGCAACTTCTGAACTTTTCTGCCACCTAATGAGAGAAACAGAAAGACTGTCAATTTTCAGACATTTCTGAAACATACGTTCAACATCCCTACCCAGTATCCTACCACCACTACCACCCAATCCAACAAAAGAGAATATGCAGATAGAATGTTGTTCTATGAATGTTGGCAATCCAACACCCACTCACCCCTGCCTTTCACCCCTCATCCAAATGGACTGGATGGAACGATGGACATAGATCATGAGACCTATCATTCCTATCTCGTCCTTTACCCCTCCTTCAATCCTCCCTTCTTCCACCCCTTCCCTATACCCCCCATCCCACCCCAGAGAGAGCTTGTCTCCACATAAACTGCTGGACTGGAATAAGGCTATAAGAGACTCAAGATTACCAGCTTCATCTGAATCCTCCTGTCATCATCCATCCTTCCCCTCATCCTTCTTCCCCTCATCCCGGGCAAACAGGCCGCGGAACACGCAGACGGCGGACAGAAGACCGCGCGGCCACCGCAGCCCGCCGGCAGCAGCGCGCAGCCCGCAGCCCGCCGGCCCGAGCCGCAAGCAAGACAACCGCCGAGCCCGCCCGCCAGGCCAAGCCGCCGCAAGCGGCAAAAGAGAAAGACGGAAAAGCAGAGACGCGGCCCCGCATAGGCCCCGCAGACAGAGGAAACGCAGCCCGCGATCACCTCATCACCCAGCACCATCCTTATTCCCTCATCCCCCATCCCCATCATCCCTCCTTCCCTCAACAATCCCCTCCTGTCCATCATCCCTCTTCCCTCATCACCTCATCCATCATCCCTCCATCCCTCATCCCTTATTCCCTCATCCCTCATCCCTCATCCCTCCTTCCCCTCAACCCTCCTTCCCCTCATCCCTCCATCCCCTCATCCCTCCTTCCTCTCATCCCTCCATCCCCTCATCTGCTCTGGAGAGAGGTGGCACTTATTTTTGTATTTAGAAAGTATAGAACACCACCTATATGGAGTATGGGGAAGACTGACTATGTGAGATGTTTGTGAACACTGTGACCTGATCTTGAACATTGGGGTTTGTTTTGACCCTGTAAGAGAAGGAAAGGACACCCAAAGATGGATAAAACTCTTCCTCCCATGATCCTCCTGTGATTTGAGTGTGTGATCGATGCACCTCAGACTTCAAGCATTCGCTCACCAGGAAAAGCACAAACTAGAGGCTGAATAACATTGCTTCTGTATCATCTCTGTTCAGTTTAGTTTTGTATTTGGATCTTTGCATCTGTTTTCTCATAATGTCATAACATTTCCACTTTGCTCCCTATGTTGGATATGAACTGGTATTCATAGATGGTGTTAACAATGCATAGACAATCAAAAGCCTTACTCCCTCCCTCCCTCTCAATATGAAAGCATTTAAGATACGTTGACTAAACGCATGCATACATGCACACACACACATACGCCCACTATGATTATCTAGCCTAGAGCCCTGCTTCACTCATTCCAAAGCGGTGTTAGTCTATTTAAGGGACCCTTATCTTTATAACATCAATGACATCCTCTCCACTATTTCATATCCCAATGTCCCCGACATAGAAATAGAATTACTAGAACGGAAATTCCTCAATCAAGTCATTGTATTTCTATGTCCCCAATAGTGTTACTTTGATCATCAGTCAAAGTAAAGGAAGAAAGAGAATGACCACTAATGTAAAGAACCACGTGGACAAACTGGGTATTGTTACCATCAGCCTGAAGGTGTTGATAAATAGAGGGTGTACCTTAGACTGGCACCAGTTTAAAGAGTGAATAGATCAAGCGTGAAGTTTTTACACTGCCTGTCTAGTACACCAGGGGGTGCTAATAAGACGTGCAGCAACATGAAGCCACTACACTGCTCAGAGATATATGAGGATTGGGACAGCAAAGTACCATAGAAGGAGAAGATAGTCTGGGGATGATATGACCACTGTAAAGATGTATGAGATCTATGTAACACCTTGTAACATTTACGTAAAGCCTGCAGGTATAATGCTTTATTGCTAGTTATGAGCATCTATAATGCTATATTACTTGTTATGAACAAACATAATGCTTTATTACTTGTTATGAGCATCTACAATGCTATATTACTTGTTATGAGCATCTATAATGCTTTATTACTTGTTATGAGCATCTATAATGCTTTATTACTTGTTATGAACATCTCCATCTATGAGCCTAACACCTTTATATGCAAAAGTATATATACAAATAATGTATGAAATACCAAGATGGATATTGTAAGGGATTGAAAGTGAGCCCAGAGTATCAAAGAAAGCTTACAACATTCAGTGTTGATGTGATGTTATGGTAATGTTATGGTCATGTTGTGGTGGAGTGATGACAGACTGACATAGTGGTTGTATCAGCTACTCCAGACTGGGCTGTCTTTCTGTTTCACTTCAGAAGGGATGGACAGAGAGTTATTTTGTACAAAATGCCTGAATGCTGTGGATTGTGGATTGGCTGTGGTATCAGGAGCTATGGTATCTGAGTATAGCCTGGTCACAGATCTGTTTGTGCTGTCTTGCCAACTCCTATGGTCATTGTCAAGAGGCATCACACAACAATAGCCATAGGAGTTGGTGAGACAGCACAAACCGATCTCGGACCAGGCTACTCTGAGCTATGGGGCTATGGCGCTAGGGGCTCTGATCAGTGGAACTGCCCAGTGGGGGCTGTGGTGGTGGGGCAGTGGGGGGTGTGGGAGAGGCCTAGCCTGGAGGTCAGACTCAGAGATGCTCTAATGAATGAGACCGGGGGAGCCACAGGACTTACAGGAGATTAGTCCTAGCATAGGATAGCATGGGGACAGCTGTCCTACACACAGACACAGACACACCCCAGACAAAACCACTGTCACACCTCATAGGGGGGTGAAGGTCAAGTTTGTCTTACTGTGTGTGTGCCATCAACTGTTACGGATAGTAATCTCAGGTCCCCCCTGGTCGTTCATATTTTAGTAGGATCTACACAAAGAGAACACCCCCCAGACCAAACCACTGTTCCATCTCATACAGGGCGTGAAGGGAGATAGAAGGGAAAGTTTGTCTGTGTGTCATCCATTGTTACTATCCACCCAGGATCCGTATAGTGCTGATCTAGGATCAGTTTTGCCTTTTAGATCATAATGAATAAGATTATATGGACAGGAGGGACCTGATACTAGTTCAGCACTCCTCCTCTGAGATGCTTTCTGAATGCGAGCCCAGGTCCCCCCTGGAGGTTCATATTGTGGTAGGATCTGAAATGCGGGTCCCTGGTTGGGCTAGGTCTGAGGTACAGGCCAGGGTCAGCTGTGCTATGCGGCGCCGACACCCCACACTTAGGACGGAGAGAAATGTCTGATCTGTTTTCATATATTGCACAATGTATTTTTAGTTAATACGCATATTGTCATTACTATTACTCATAATAGTACCGAAAAAACATTGTTTTTATTTCTCTGGTTTCCAGGTTTTTATTTGCGATCTAGCACCAATGTGTTTGCATTAGCGTTTTTACTATTGCTCCATATGATATGCTGGCCGTTAAACCCTGAGCAGAATAGTATATGACCGATGTATATTTACATTTTAGCAGACGCTCTTATCCAAAGCGACTTACAGGAGCAATTAGTGGTTAAGTGCCTTGCTCAAGAGCACAGTGACAGATTTTTCACCTAGTTGGTTCGGGGATTCAAAAACAAGCAACCTTTAGGTTACTGGCCCAATGCTCTTAACCGCTAGGCTACCTGCCGCCCAATGTTATATATACGGCAGGTTGTATTTTTTCAATAAAGTGTGACAATCTCGTTCTGGAATATATGACATAATCTCAGTGTCATCCCTTCTTCTCTAAGTCTGTTGTCTCTGATACTGAGCTAATCTTCCCACAGCTGTGATCCAGGAGTTCTCAGAGTAACTCCTCCTCTTCTCTCTCTCTCTCTCTCTCTCTGTCTTCCCCTCTCTCTCTCCCTCCCTCGCCATTGTCCCAGTCCTCCTTCTTGTTATCTCTCTCTCTCTCTCTGTCCCCCTCCATCCCTAAGGATTATGTGAGTGTTGGCCTACAGTTTCACTCTGTTTCCAGAATTCTCTTGTGCCTCCAGCTGCCGTGAGTCCTCAGCCCCGTTAGAGGCCCCGTTAGAGGTCAGCCCCATTAGAGGTCCAGAGTGTGTGTTTTGGAGGAGTTTGAGTGTGTGTGTGTGTGTGTGTGTGTGTGTGTGTGTGTGTGTGTGTGTGTGTGTGTGTGTGTGTGTGTGTGTGCGTGTGTACGTTTGTGTCTGTCTGTCTGTCTGTGTGTGTGTGTGAGAGAGAGAGAGAGCATGTGCGTGTGTTCAGTCAAGTGTGAAAGACTCTCATTATAGAATGTGTGTGTCCTTTATTGTCTACTACTGTGCTTCAGCAGTCTGGCATTCAGAGCTTCCCAGCCTGTTTGTACTAGACTCAGCAGAGACTCTGGCTGACTGGTGCCTAGCGTCTGTGTGTCCTCCTATGCTTTCCCAGAAAGCCAGTCATGCATAGGTCATAGGTCAGCGACAGGTCAAGTTAACGGTCAGACAGTGAGAACACAGTGATAACATGGTTACATGGGTCATATTCATTAGGGCACACAGTAGCAAAATGTTTTGCAACCGAAAACAAAAAGGAACATTTCTAATTGAACATGTCTTTCCCCGTTTTCCTTGTTTTTGTCATTTAACAGACACTCTTATCCAGAGCAACTTACAGAAGCAATGAGGGTTAAGTGCCTTGCTCAAGGGCACCACCTAATCGGCTCTGGATTCGAACTAGCGACTTTTCGGTTAATTGCCCAGCGCTCTTAACAGCTAGGCTACCTGCTTTCCCTCAGTTTGGTGCCTAGTGAATACGGCCCTGTTGTGGGAGCACAGTGATGACATGTACGCATACCTGTTGTGTCATTGTTGAGGCTGTGTCTGGAATCGATGTGGAGGTGGTGAGGTCTTTCCACAGTCATGTTAACAAATAGACAAGACATAGGCTGTGTCTAAGAGATTACTAAAATATTAGGATTGACAAAGTCAACATAACCTCAAGAAATAGGCAGTATTTTCAAAATAGTCTACAACCCTATATCAGCAGAACTAACAGAGCTACGGACATTGAAACCACCAGAAACAACTAAAAATACATTTCTGGCCACATACAGTTAGGCTTATCTACATTTACATTTACCCCAGCTGTAAACTAACAACTGTACACTAACAACTGTAAACTAACAGCTGTAAACTAACAGCTGTAAATTAACAACTGTAAATTAACAACTGTAAACTGACAACTGTACACAAACAACTGTAAACTAACAACTGTACACTAACAACTGTACACTAACAACTGTACACTAACAACTGTACACTAACAACTGTACAGTAACACTCAGAAAGACAACAATACACATTCAGTTAGCTAGGTGGAGCAACGGCAACAGAGCAAACTAGGCTGTGTGTGTTTGTGTGTGTGTGTGTGTGTGTTTGTGTGTGTGTGGAGCCGGTACATCCAGTGCCATACCTGGTCTTAGTGGTAATGCGATGCCACACGTTACATTATAACCCCCCAGAGGCGCTGGTGGAGACTGGCTACGTTCTAATGTGAAGCCAGGCAACATCAAAGGATGGACAAGTTCAAAGCAAGCAGCAATTTATCAGAGCAGTAAAAACGGATAAAGGATCCGCAGGTGATCATTTCTATTCAGTCTGTCTGTGCAGGCATGTTCAGCCTCTCTTCTATTCAGTCTGTCCCTGTCTATGCAGGCATGTTTAAACTCTCATTGTTGATGGGTTTTGATGGGTGATGCTCTCTCTTTCCCTACGTGTCTGTCTTTTTCTTTCTCTCTG